TCTCAGGCTGCTCTCTCATGTGCACGTATGGCCGCTCCAGGTGGGAAGATCTCATGCATACTGAAAGGATCCTTTGGGATTACGATTCCGAAGGAAATCTTGCTTTCATTGAGTGCTCCGTGGACATCCACAAGACCAGAAATGCCAAGCAGTTTAAGGGGACACTCTTACCTTTTGTCGCACCCGCCTTAGGGGTTGTCGATGTGAATTGGGGTGCTCTATGGCTGCAGGCTAGAAAGGATCTTGGCTTGAAGGACCCGCAAGACGGTGGGGCCATGATGCCGGCTCCGGACTCAGACATGCAGATCACTGATCGCAGCCTTGAGAGTGACGAAGCTGGGGCTTGGCTACGATACGTTCTTTACTGGCAGCATTGACAAACTACCGGGGCGCAGGGTTAGCAGCCATTCCCTGAAGTGCACATGCATTTCATTTGCCACGAAATTTGGGGCCAACCCGAATGAGATTCTCCTTCTTGGTTACCACTGCGGAGGGTATCAGATGGCTATCACGTACGGTAGAGATGCAGCTTCTCCATCTGTGCTTCTGCTGGAGAAGGTTTTGAAGGCTGTGCGTGATGGACGGTTTCGCCCAGACGAGACCCGCAGTGGACGTTTTGTCAGCGTGTCCAAACCTGTGCCAATTGTCGAGATAAAGGACGAAGAGTTCTCCGTTGTTTCCGCAGGATCGCTTGTAGAGGAGCCTAGAAGTCCTCCTGAGCCACACCCCGAGGCGGATGATGATCAGCGTGTGACGACTTCCTCCTCCAGTGAGTCCTCCACTTCACCCAGCTCTCGTGGGGCAGGCAAGCCGAGTGTGTTCGTTAAAACATTCTTGCCATCGGCGCCGGAGGGTATGTGCTATTGGGAACATTCCAAATCTAGAGTGCTACATCTTACGTACATCAACTACAGCAAAGTTTTCATTTGCGGGAGAGTGATCGGGCCTCGGCACGCTCAGGTCAAGGGTCAGCCTTCTGCTGCTTGTTCTAGGTGTGCCACTTGCGCTAAAATCGCAGACGAGGAGTGCTGAGCTCAGAAAAAGGCCGATGTCCGGCAAAATCAGCTTTGTGGTTGCCTTGTCTTTACGTTGGACGTACCAAGCCATGAGATACCATTGCTGAGAGCTGGACCTTCGAGCTGTATCGTGCAATTGTGACCTCTTTGATTGCGCATGTCACATCGCTGTAAGGGGGCAGCCTAGAGCATCCAAACGTTGCTGTCTGGTAACACTATTTGTGCGCATGACACATCTGGAGAGCCACCTTTGGTTGAGTTTGCTCCTGGAGATTTATATATCTTGGCAGAGAGCACAACCGCTTAGGCAGCGGCTCAAGAGAATTTCTTTTGCTACAGCTGCAGTTAGGTATGTCCACCATTATCGAGAGCGAAGCTGCTTTCGAGAAAAGGTGCTTGGAGCTCAAGAGTGATGGCTCTCTTCTGGCGGGCATGGCTGGTCAAGGCTTGAAGAGTTATCGTTCGCTTGCCTTCGCCCTTGGTACCCCGCAGACTGCACCTAATGATGCGGCTTATGAGGGGCTAGCGGCAAAGGTGTATGCGACTGGAGCCCCTAGCTTGGGAGACTTGGCCACGGTTCGTCAGCTGCACTTTGAGGCAACCACTCTTGTGATCCAAACCTACAAGGAGCTGGTTCACCAAGAGTCTGCTGAATCCAGCATGCGGAAGCTCCCGCTTCCCGAAAAGCGGGCGAGGAGGGAGAGCCAAATCAAGCGGCTGGCTGGCCTCAGCATCGAAGGAGAGCTTGATCCTTCTTTTCAGCTGATTGACAGCTGCAATCATCAGATGGAGACCTCCATAATCTTTTGGCTTGCTCCTTCAAAGTGTCCGAAAAGAGAGATCGAGGTGCTGGCTGGTTTTCGTGAGAAGCCGTCGACCCTTCAAGTGGAGCAAAATGTTGTCAAGCTTGGGCAGGGTCCCCAAGCCTTGGAGTGCGACACCTCAGACAGCTTGAAGTGTCAGTGGGCATGGATGCGTACGGGGCTAGCCTACGATCAGTGCAACATGATCTCGCATGCCACGCATCAGAAGTGGGTCCAACGTTTGCTAGACTCGTTGTCTACCACACCGCCGCCAGGATACAGTGCCATTAGTCTGTCCCAGTGCATCCGCGCTGACAAGGAGCTCTTCCTGCTCATGTCTCAAGAGAATCTTTCTAGCTTCAAGGCCGGAGTTGGGGGGGTTCTTCCGTTGGACACGCTGATGAATAGGCTCATGTATGATGTCAGAGTCAGCCAGTTTCTGCTTCCTCTTCCCAAAGGCAGTGCAGCCGGCAGTGGCGGGGACATCAGCCGCACGCCTGGGTTGAAGCGTCCTGGGGGAAAGCCTCAGGGGCCGTCTGGAAAAGCAAAGGCTAAAGCAAGGACTCGTGGCGGCCCAAAGAATAAGCCAGCTAGCCTTGCCAATTTCGATACCCGGTCCAAGCATGGGAACCTTTGCTGGGGTTTTAATCTTGAGGACGGGTGTGAGAATAAAACCGAAAAAGACCCAAAGTCTGGGTTCCAAAAGTGTGCCAAGGGACTTCACTTGTGTGCAAATTGCCATAAGCCTGGACACTCGGTCGTCAATTGTCGTGCCCTCAAGGAGTGACTAGATCACCGCAAGGAGGAAGCGTTGCCATCTTTGAGTGGCTGTTTAAAAGCAGAGGTGGGAAGAACTGGGCCTGCAAAACGCGTGTGCACTTCTTCTCCGCCTAGCTCTAATACTTCTGCAACTGGGTCAAGACATGAGGTCTTGCCCAGCCGTGTTGCCGAGGGCACTGCTGATGCCAGTGCACTTGTTGGCTTGCCACGTGAGGTTGCGGCCTTTTCTTTCAGCGAGCACACTCAAGGTGTTGCTGAGGATTCCGGGTTGCCGCGAGAGGTGGCGCCTAAACCTTTACAGGTGTCAGTGGAATCTGTTGTCTCCCGAACCACGGGTTTTTCTTCGCAGAACTTAGCTGCACCTTTAGGGGCTACAACGTTAGCCGTTGCAGGTTGTGGAAGTGCCTCTTGTGAGCGGCCGCTTGATCCACGTGCAAAGGTTGCACCATCGCACCTTCACCCATTTGTGGACAATGTGTCCAACTCTGTCTCCCCTCAAGGGGGAGCAGTTGAATTAGGTAGTCCTGAACCCCTAACCTTGGCCCCTGCCTCCCATTCCCATCCATCTGCACAGGCCGTTGACCCAGAAGACCTGGCCAAGGAACTGCTTGTGACACGCACTTTTTCCGCCGCTGCTGCCCTTCAGTTGGTAGACCTGTTGCCTCGAGACTCAGGTTTGCGCCGTGTACAAGGCAACGGTGGATCACGCCTCGCCTTTGGGGCCTACTGGGGAATGGGAAAAGCTTGCATGTTCAAGAACACTCTGAAGTTCCCGTGTTCTTGCAAATACCTTTGTGCTTTTGTTCATCACGTCGCGCCTCAACATGAGTTCTCTGCTATAGAAATTCTTGATGACGTTCTGTCTGGCGTTCACCAGGACTCTTCGAATCGACGTGATTCTGCTAGTGTTGTCATACCACTGACGACATTTGCTGACGGTCAGTTGTGGGTAGAAAATGCCGCCGGTACTCATAAGTTGCCCTCAGGACAGCGCGGGGTCCTGCATGACTTCGGGCGAGGACCTTGCAAATTTGATCCTCACTGCAAACATGCGGTACTGCCTTGGCATGGCCGACGGGTTGTCCTAGCTGCTTATGTACCACGCGGCGTTCTTGATTCCCCCTCTGACTTGAAGTCGGAGCTTTCCCTTTTAGGGTTTGTTGTTAGGGTTTTCCCTAGACCTGGCCTTGGTTTCCCCCTTCTTGATACCCGTATCTCACCTGTTGCCCTTGAATCAGGTTCAGAAAATTCCGCTGTACCTGCTACTGAAGGTGGCGCTTCACCCAATTGTGCCGAGCTGTTTCAGTCCTTTCGGGGTCTTTGTCCAGAAGACTTGTTAGTGATCGAGTTGTGTGCTGGCGCAGCCATCTTGTCTACAACAGCATCCAAAAAGGGTTTCTGGGTTCTTGCTGTTGACAATAATCAAAGAAGGGCTCCTGGGAAACATATCCTCCGTTTGGATTTGGCAGACCCTCAGGCCGTGTCCGAGCTTCTTGAAATCATCAGAATGGAGCGAGATCGAGTAGCCCTGTTGTTCATTTCGCCTCCTTGTGGAACAGCTAGCCTTGCTCGTGAGCGCAAGTTGATGAAATGGGCCCGCAAAGGCTTTAAGATCCCTGCGCCACTGCGTAGCCGTGACTTTCCTGACATGTTGCCAGGCATCAAAGGTTGGGACAGGGCTAAGGTTGAGCTCGCCAATCAGCTCTACTCCGAAGTCACGAGGATTTCCCTCGTTGCCATTGGCCTTGGAATCTTGGTAGTTCTAGAAAACCCCGCAAGCAGCCTTTACTGGCTTACGTCTTTCTTTTGCGAGTTGGCAGCCTTCTGTCCTGGTTACAACGTTGATTTTCATGTTTGCTGCCACGGGGGCCAACGCCCAAAGCTCACGCGGTTCTGGACCTCACAACAGGCCTTCACCCAGCTGTCCATGTTCTGTGACGGATCTCATTGGCACAAGCCCTGGACTCCCAGGCGTGTAGGAAATCGTTTGCATTTCGTTACTGCAGACGAGGCTGCCTACCCTCTTCTGTTGTGTCAGCGAGTCATTGATACCTTGTTGGAGATGTGTTTCCCGGATGCACCTTTGCCCTCTGCAACCTCATCTGTGCCCTTTGCTAGCAAGCATACCCGAATTGCACTTGGAGCGCAACCCCGAGGGAAGGCGCTTGGACCCCTGGTCTCGGAATTCTCTCATCAGGTCGCCTTTGCTTGTGCAGCCATCAAACAGGATGCCTCTGTGCCATTTCTGCAGTCCCTTCCGAAAGGGTCTAAAGTGCTAAGACGGCGCCTTTTAAATGGGGGTAATCTCATCCCGTCTTTGGAACAGGTGTCAGACGTTATCTTCCATGACATGCCGGACCTTCGTGCTTGCTCACCTCAAACCTTCGAAGAATGGAAGTTGGCGAGCTTGGAAGTGTTCTTCATAGGGGTTCCCTGTACTCCCGATGTGTTCATTGAAAGGGTTTTACAAGTAGGACATCCCAAGGGCTTCGACGTGCGCATGGAGCCGGATGTTTACGAGTCCATTCGAGCCAACTTTTGTCGGGATCCGTATCCTCTTGCGAAGCTTAGAATAGACTTTGTCAAGAAGTGGACACACCGTGCCAAGGAATTGCAGCTTGACGACAACAAGCTTCACAACTCCCTCCCCCCGTACCTGCGTCAAGTGTTAAGTGGCAAACGCTTGCTGCTCTTGGGGGAGATGATGGAGGAGGCAAAGTGCCCAGACATTAGTTTGGTTCAGGACATCCGTCAAGGTTTTCGAATCTCTGGGTGGATGCCACTTTCTGGCAATTCTCGGCCTAAGGTTAAGAGACCTGCCATGTCTATGGACACCCTCCAGATTCTTTCCAAGGGCCTTAATAAAAGCGTTCTCGATCGGCTGGGCAATCGCCAGGATCCTGAGCTGGAGTCTGCTGCGTGGCAGGAGACACGGAAAGAGCTGGCGGCAGGATGGACATGGCTGGCCAACGACGCAGACATCTCAGGCCTGCTTATTGCACTGCGG